ACAAGCAGGGGGAGTGGGAGAGGGAGAAGCAGGCTTCCTGCTGAGCAGGGAGCCTGATGCGGGGCTCGATCCCAGGACCCTGGGACCATGACCTGGGCCAAAGGCAGACGCTTAACGACTGAGCCACCCAGGCACCCCACATAGTACAGGTTTAATATATGTTTGTTTGATCAGGATTAAATTGGAAACCTGATATTTTCTATTAGTAGTATAAACTCTTGGCAAATGTTCACAAATTTTTTATGCTACTCATCGATAATTTTAGCAAGATGAGGAGAAGCTTTAAGATAATTAAAATGATAATGCTAACAGTGGTCACTGTAAGGAAAATGGTATCAGTTCTGATCATCTTAACTTAGGGATTAATTATTTAGGCTATAGCTGGATGTAAAAGAGGAACACAGTGGACTACTTTGCAATCACGTAGAACAAATTTCTGTGAAAACATCTCTAAGATGAGTAAAAAAAAGTGAGTGAAAAATAGTCTATTTAGAATATATATGAAGTTATTTGCATGCGTGTTAATTATTTCTGGAAGAATAATTAAGAAATTGGTAATTTGGTGTTAGGAAGCAGAACAGTAGATTTGGGGTCTGAGATAAGTCTTATAAAATGGAAGTACAGTTTTGTATTTTAATTTTTATCATTTTTAAAAACACTCAATAAAAAAAGCAAAGATTCTAGTTTTGTTCTGTTTGGCTGTTCGTGTCAGGGAGTCTCATCATTCATGATATCTGGTGAAAATTATGATGGCCCAATTGTCAAAGTAGACCTGTAGAAAGCAATTATGAACCTGCCAAAAATCTAGGCAAAATGTCTACCTTTGCCATAGAATGAATAGTTTAAATTTACTCGAGATTTGTTAGAGATGCAGTTTTTCATTTTGAAATATTCCATATGATCCGCAGGTCTTACAGAAGAAGCAACAAAATAGTAAGAAATTGGCATCACTGTCAATCCAAAATGAGAAACGTGCTAATGAACTAGAGCAGAATGTAGATCACATGAAATATCAAAAAGTACAGCTGCAAAAAAGACTTCACGAAGAAAATGAAAAAAGGAAGCAACTGGATGCAGAGATCAAGCGGGATCAACAAAAAATCAAAGTAATACTGTCCTACTTTCCTGCTAAACCTAATAGGAAATGTTAAATGGCTCAGGGCTGATGAAGCCAAGGTCTCAATTCACTTGGCTTCTGAGGTATCTCCCCTTGGCCTGTCCTCAGCTGCTGTCCTCATTCGCTTAAAGCTTTGTACATCTACATAGTAAAACCTATTTATTGAATTCTGAGTACTGTCTTGAAGGCTTTGACTTCATGAAAGAACGTACAGTGAAGACAGTTTCTCTAACTAGGACCTTAACTTTACCTGAGGCTGTCAAAAACATATAAAGCTGACTTTTGAAAAAATATCTAACATTTGATAGGATTTCCCATTTCCAAAGTGCTTCAACATGCATTGTCCGTGTGGCAGCATGGGAAAAAGCACAAGATAAAATGGTACCATTTCGTTCATAATGAGCAGAAGGATGATGAGACCAATCTGGCCAGCAGTTGTGTAGAACGGATTGGTCTGGGGAAGAACTGATGCTGTCCACCTGGGCCCTGGGGCCAGGCTAGCGTGGGTTCAGATCCCAGCTTTCTCAGGTCCTGGCTGGCTTGTTGACTGAGAAAATCACTTACCCTCTCTGAGTCTGTTTATTCTCCTCGAAAATGGCCTTAATCACACTTACCTCACAGGGCTCTTTTGAAAAGAGGAGGACGATGAATGTCATGACAATAGCCATCACAAACACTTACCTGGCACTAGGTACCAGGCTCTTTTCTATTGAAATGTTAAGCTGAACCGAAAGCTTGAAACATAATTGATTTCTAGATTTTTAACTTTGGAATATGGTCTATTCTTAGACCTTAAAAAAAAAAACAACATAGAATTTAGTGATGGAACAAAGGTTAAATAGCATTTAAGACAAGTTACTGATTCTTCTTTTTAACAGCTATATTGAGGTATTCTTGACATACCATACAATTTACTCACATAAAATATACAGTTCAGTGGGTTTGGGTATATTACATTATTTTTGTAAATTTTGGTAAAATAAACATAAAATGTTCCACTTTAATCGAGTTTAACTGTACAGTTCCGTGGCATTGATTACATTCACAGTGTTGTACAACTGAGACCACTAGCTATTTTCAAAACTTTTTCATCACTCTAAACAGACACTCTGTAACCATTAGGCAGTAATTTCCCGTTTCTCCCTCCCCTCCCCCCACCACCAGCCCCTGGTAACTTCTGATCTACTTCTGTCTCTCTGAATTTGCCTATTCTAGCTATTTTATAAAAATGAAATCTTACAATATTTATCCTGTGTCTGGCTTGTTTCACTTCCTTTAACATTTTCAAGGTTCATCCGTGTTGTAGCATGTATCAGAACTTCATTATTTTTTGTGGCCAAGTAATATTCCATTGGGTGTATATACCACATTTGGTCCATCCATTCATCTGTTGGTAGACACTCCAGTTGCTTCCACCTTTTGTCTACCATAAATAATACTGTGGTAAAAATTGGCCTACAGGTTAACTGTTCAAATCCTAGGAGTGGAATTGCTGGGTCATATAATTCTGTTTCATTTCTTCAGGAATTACCAACTGTTTTCAATAGAGAACAGCACCATTTTACATTCCCCCCAACAATGTATGAGGGTTTTAATTTCTCCATATTTTTGCCAACACACGTTATTTTCTCTTTCTTTTTTATTACAGTCATCCAAGTGTGTGTGAAGTGGTATCTCATGGTGGTTTTGATTTCCGTTTCCCTAATGACTAATGATGTGAGCATCTTTTCATGTGCTAATTGGCCATTTCAGTATCTTCTGTGGAGAAATGTCTGTTCAAGTTCTTTGTCTACTTTTTAAATGGATTATCTTTTTATTGTTAAATCATTGGAGTTCTTTATGTACTCTAGACATTAAACTCTCTCACATACATGACTTCCATATATTTTTCCCATTCTGTAGGTTGTCTTTAAACTTTTTTTTAGGGGAGTTAATGGGCAGAACGAGAGGGATAGAGAATCTTTTTTTTTTTTTTAAAGATTTATTTATTTATTTTAGAGAGAGAGAGCATGTGAGTGAGGGGAGGGGTAGAAGGGGAGGGATAGAGAAAATCTTCAAGCAGACTCCCCACTCAGCATAGAGCCTGATGTGGGGCTCGATCTCACAACCGTGATATCATGACCTGAGCCAAAGCCATGAGTTGGACACTTAACCAACTGAGCCACCCAGGCGCCCCAAGAGAATCTTAAGCAGGCTCCACTCCCAGTGTGGAGCCCAACAGAGGGCTCGATCTCACAACCCTGAGATCATGATCTGAGCCAAAATCAAGAGTCAGATGCTTAATCGACTTAGTCACCAAGGCGTCCCTTTAAACTTTCTTGATAATATTCTTTGATGCAGCAAAATTTAAATTTTTATGATTTATCTATTTTTTCTTTTGTTGTCTGTGCTTTTGGTGTCTTTTAAAGATTCACTGTCAAATGTAAAGTCACAAAGATTTACCCCTTTGTTTTCTTCTGAGAGTTTTATGGTTTTAGCTCTTATATTTAGGTTGTTAATTGATTTTGAGTTAATTTTTGCCTATAGTGTGAGGAAGAGGTCCAACTTTATTCGTTTGCATGTGGAAATCTAGTTGTGCCAGTTCCATCTGTTAAAGACATTATTTTTTCCCCACTGAATGGACTTGGTACCCTTGTCAAAGATCAGTTGGCTGTAGCTTTATGGATTTATATCTAAACTCAGTTCTAGTCCATTTGTCTGTATGTCTGTCCTTATGCTAGCACCACATTGTTTTGCAGTTAGTTTTGAAATTGGAAATAAGTCCTTCAACTTTGTTGTTGTTCTTTTTGAAGATGGTTTTGGTTATTTGAGGTCCCTTGCAATTACATATGAATTAAAGGATCAGCCTTTCCATTTATGCAAAAAAGGCCATTGGAATTTTTATATGGATTGCACTGAATCTGTAGAGTTCTTAGGGTGTATTGACATCATGACAATATTGTCTTCCTACTCCTGAGCATGGGGTAACCTTTAGTTAGGTCTTCTTTAATCTCTTTCAGCAATCTTTTCTAATTTTCAGTGCACAGTCTTTTTACCTCCTTGCTTAAATTTATTTCCAGATATTTTATTCTTTTAGATGTTATTGTAAACAGAATTATTTTCTTAATTTTCTTGAGCTACTCATTCTTTTTTTTTAAATTTTTTTATTCTTATGTTAATCCCCATACATTACATCATTAGTTTTATATGTAGTGTTCCATGATTCATTGTTTGTGCATAACACCCAGTGCTCCATGCAGAATGTGCCCTCCTCAATACCCATCACCAGGCTAACCCATCCTCCCACCCCCCTCCCCTCTAGAACCCTCAGTTTGTTTTTCAGAGTCCATCGTTTGAGCTACTCATTCTTAATAATGTAATAGTTATTATAGCAGTAGTTAACATTTATCTTCAGTCAGTACTATTCTAAGCGCTTATGTGCTTTATCTCATTTAATTTTTTTCTCCAGTATTTTCAACTTTTTCTTTTTTCCTAGATTTTCTTTAACATCTTCGATTTTTCCCATCTTAAAATTATCCTCTTTAAACTTAATACTTTTCTCCTTCTCTCTTCTCCCCTTTATAACCAAACTTGTTCGTTATAAAGTTGACTGCATCTGTTTCTGTTTCCTGTGCTTCCATTCATTCTCTCATCCTCTCCAGTCTGGCATCTGGCTCCTGGTTTTACCATCCACTTCAACGCTCTGGAGAAATTCACTAGTGCTCTCTCTGTCACTAAAGTCCTTAAAACCTCAGCTGCATCCAACATAGTTCACCACTCCCCCCATCTTGAAATATTTTCCCCTTGCCCTTTGTTTTTTTCTCTGATTGCTTGTTCTCTGTCTTTGCTAACTCATCCTACACTATCAGTCCTCCTTCACATATGAGAATTCCTCAAAGCTCTAGCTTTATGCCTCTTCTGTACTGTCTTAGATACTTCATCTTTTTCCATGGCTACAGTTAAACTCTGACAACTTCCAAATTTAATCCTTAATCCCAGATTTGCCTTCGAGCTCTGGATTCCTGTATCCAACCACTGACATCTTCATGCAGTTGTCTTATAGATGAATTCATGATCTTCCTTACTTCTCTCCCCACAATTCCCTCTCCCTACTCCCTCAAGGGAGAATATATAGTTTTCCATGAGCTTTTCCAGACCTTTCAATCCATTCGGATAGGTAAACTAGCAGTCATCCTCGACTGTGTCTTCTTCCTTATTACCCATGAACCACTAAGTCCTATAGATGATATCTTCTGAATATCTTGGATCTGTTCATTTCTCCTTACTACTGCCAACAACCTAGTCTCCTTGTTATGGTCCTTCCTCCAATGTGAGGATTAGGCCTGCCTCTCAGTCATGTGATCTTTGGGTCTCAGGTTCTTATCTCATAGACCATGGTTTAAACCAACAAAACATGGCACTCTTTAAATCTCCAAACAAGAATTTTTTTTCTTTTCCCTAAACAGTGCATAGTGCATAGTGTGCTGAAATGCAAATCTGCTTGTAACTTAAACTTTTTACATTTTTATCTAGGGCAGTTTTGCTTCTTTTAGCCATATCTCTCATTCTAGGGAAACGACCCTATTTAAAGGGAGAACGAGTATCCAGAAAAAGAAACAGTCTGCCCCAAAGATATATTGAAGTTTCCACTACTTCACGCAAAAATAGAAAACCTGCTCACAGTCCTCTGTTTGGAGCTAACTTTCTAACATTCCTGTTTGTCCATTCTCCATTTGACTAAACCATTTCCAGAGAATACTAGGATTTCTGCATAGGTTCTCCTTAGAGCAGCAGTTCTTAACTGAAGTCTGTGGATAAGCTATAAAGAAAAGGTACAGGAACCCAAAATTGTGGGCCATCGTGTGATCTTGAGCTTTTTACTTCTCTAAATAGCAGTTTCCCCATCTACAAAATGGGAGTTTTTAATAGTCTCTGTCTCATAAGATTATTGTGAGGATTAAATGGGATAATTAAATAGATGTGAAAAGCCTAGCGTCATAACCAGTGGACAGTTACTTTAATATTATAACAGGGATTATATTACAAGTAAAGGCAATAATGTCTGGAGCAACATGTAGCAGAGAGGGTGAGACCTACTGCGGTTACTTTTAAAGCATTTGTGGAGGGAGAGGAATAGCAGAGAGTCTGCTCCCAGTAACTATAAGGTGTCTTTATTTCTGCATCTTGGAGTTGCTGTGACTGTGAGAGGGGCTAAGTTATAACTACGGACCAGAGCCTGGGCAGCATGAAAGAACTAATGGGTCACTATAATGGGGTCAAATTCACTTGTAATACAGTGCAGGTGAGCAGAGAAAATGTCTTTATTTAGTCTATAGCAGACCTATGTTCTTTATGACACCACCACCCCTCTTGCCCTGTCCAGCCCATATCATGAGAATTGCTGGAAATATAGGAACTAACCATATGCTCAATCTGTTCAGACCTTGTCCTGGTAATTTCACCATTTTCTTTAAGTAATTCCCAGCTCTCTTGAGTAAGAATATTCAGTTTCTTTGCCTCTTCCATCTTCCACCCTGTGCTTCTCTCCCTAAGGTTGAGTCCAGTGTATGTCATGGTTGGGTATATAGCTTTTACTACATTGTATGGTGTTATAGGGAAAGGGACCTCCTGAATTTCAGTTGGTCTTTTGGATGTGACTACTGTCCTTCGTCTACCTTTCTTTGTTGGGCCCTGATGATGAAGCCCAAGTTGGTATAACCTGTAGTCTGGTCTCACTTTCAGTTTAGAGCACGGAGGTGCTTTGGTTTCATCTCGTCTCCCAGTGGCATTATAAATCCTCGTGGAGGCTACTAGGTCTTCTGTCTAGCTTGCTAGCCCAGTGGCCTGTCCTCATCTTCAGTTTTGGGGTCAGTGCCCCACGATAACGGACTCCCATAGGCTGTCAGGATCCACGTCACTTGAGGCCAAGGAGTCTGTAATTAATTGATTGTACTTCCCTGCTCTGTCAGCGAGGCCAGGCAGTCCCATATGGGTGTGGGACCTCTACACTGCAGTCTGCTTTCTGTCCCTCTGTCCTCAGTGATACCTTATCACCCCATTTCGGGGCCAAAACTCACAAGGCCAGATCTCAGGAAAATTGGGACCCACATCTTTCTTACCATCTCTTTTCTCCTTTCTGCCCTTCCCACGGCTGGAAATGGTAGAGTTTCCTTCTGCTTTCTTTATATCGGTACTTCTGAAATTACCTGTGGAGAAGGTGCAGTTTTCAATCTTGTTATTAGTTCATCACAGCCCAGGACTTTTGTAAAACATGAACTAGTCGTAAAGTGAAATAATAAAATATATAATAAAAGGCCAGGGGCGCCTGGGTGGCTCAGTCGTTAAGCGTCTGCCTTCGGCTCAGGTCATGATCCCAGGGTCCTGGGATCGAGCCCCGCATCGGGCTCCCTGCTCGGCGGGAAGCCTGCTTCTCCCTCTCCCACTCCCCCTGCTTGTGTTCCCTCTCTCACTGTGTCTCTCTCTGTCAAATAAATAAAATCTTTAAAAAAAAAAGTCCATCTTTTCATTATTATAACTATTAATATTCAACAGACATAAAATTATTCTGTCCAGTTGTTTTAAAGGTTTCTAAACACTTTCAATTTCTATACTTACCCATCACGGACCAGTAAGAGACAGTAAAGTGGACCAGCCCACTTTGGTTCATGGCCTCCTTCCTTAGTCCTGCTAAGCATTGGTGGTAGACAGCAGCATCTTCTCTGAACCCCTAGGAGAGCACCTGGGGCCTCTTAAGATGTGGATGGAAACGGAAGGAATTTAGAAGATACTCTTCATAGGACCATGATCTATTTTGAAAGGCTATTCTCATGCAGCAAAATCCTATTTCTGAATGCCAGAAACGGAATAATACTTTTCATATTTCTACTGTCATAAATTCTAATATCCCCATGGCAGATGGGTGCCTTGGGTAGCCCGACTAAAGGTCATGAGCTCAGAAAGGCAGACTAGAAAAGCACATTTGTAATTTTCAGACTCTTATCCCTGTTATGCTGATTTGTAACACTGGCAAACCATGGGGGAAAAAAACCCCTAGTTTTGTTAATAAACCCTGATTTTTGCTTCAGTGAGGGGCTGACATTATTTTTTTGTCAAATAGCCCCAGCCTTCATCTACTTATTTTCTTTCTTTTTGCAAAAATATTTAAGAAAATATTAAATAAATATTTAATGATGGCCAGGTAGTAAAAGCAATAAGGTGTTTTCAATTTCTGTTCTCTGCAGGAACTAAAGTTAAAAACAGAACAGGAAGAAGCTCTGAAATTGAGAGCTGAGGACCTCGATGCATTTAAGATGAAAAAGAGAAAAGGTTCATTTGGAAGAACAGACCAGCTCCAGGTTTGTCTGTTCTATTCAGTGTTTCCTGCTTTCTCTTTGCTCTGATGATGGTCTAAATAGAGGTATAAAGTGGTGGACTCTGAATAAAATCTGCAAACACTAGACTTTGCCACTTGAGTACAAATTTTCTAGTATTTCTCCCGAAACGTTTCTCTCATTAAAAAATTACTCTCTCCTCCAGAAATGTGCTGTGTTCTTATTTCAGTAGAAATGGATTTATTTGAATGTTGTAGAATGTAAACATGAAATGGATTCATTTTCACTAGATTGTTTCCATGGGACTAAACCAGTCCTGATATGGGAATAAAGGCTGACTTATTCCCATGGAAACAATATATGTCTAAGAATCAGAGCCCCTGCCCCCCCATTCCTACATAACCAAATTATATATGCACCATATAAGATGAATTAAAAAGTTATTGTATTAGTGCCACATTTAAAACAATGAAATCCAGGGGCACCTGGGTGGCTCAGTCAGTTAAACATCTGACTCATTTCAGCTCAGGTCATGATCTCAGGGTCGTGAGATTGAGCCCCATGTCAGGCTCTGTGCTGAGTATGGAGCCTACTTGGGATTCGTTCTCTCTCCCCCCCACCTCGTCCCTCCCCTGCTCTCTCTCTCTCTCTTTCTCTAAAAAAAAGAAAGAAAGAAAGAAAGAAAGAAAACTATAAATTAATCTCTTCAAAGAAACAACCTCTTAGTTTTATGTAAATTCAAAATGGCCATTCTAAAAATCTTACTGAAAAAAACAAGCACTGAAAACTGTAATTACACTCAAAAGCTAATACATGACCTTAATTCTGAAAAATTTATTTGCTCTTAAATTTTATGTATCTTAATAGTAAAATTTAGTACATGAATGTATTCCCAGTTATTTATTTATTATTTTTTATTTATTTACCTGAGAGGGAGAGTGAGCACCAGAGGAAGGAGAGCACAGGGAGAGGGAGAAGCAGGCTCCCCACTGATGTAGGAGCCCGATGGGGGGGCATGATCCCAGGACCCTAGGATCATGATCTGAGCCGAAGGCAGACAAGATGCTCAACTGACTGAGCCACTCAGGCACCCCTCCAGTTATTTATTTTACTAGTGTGTTTTAGACATTGGTTAAAGTGCTGTCACTCTGACATTCTGTGCTGCTTGGTAATATAATATTTCTGGGCATAAAGGGTATGCCAGGGAGTAGGAGAGGTAGGAATGCAAAGAATAGTGAGACCTGTTTTTCAAAATGTTAAGGATCTAAATTTTAAATGAATATGATAACAAAAAGATTCCCACAGCTTGCACTATGTTGGGTTAAACATATTAATAAAACAAAAACAGAACTTCATGTTTTTCAATACTGCAAAACAAAAACCCGCTTTCCAGAATTTGACTCTAAATAAGAACAAAATTATAAGGTAATCCATATGAATATCCAAAGAGCTTAGAATAGGACATTGATTTGTAATGAAGCTCCTTTATAAGAAAGCATTTAAAATTGGAACTGTGTGATAGGAACCTTTGCTATTAAAAGAGAAAAAACAAATCAAGAAATTTTCAGAAAACTTACTAAGATACAGTGAATTATACAAATCATAACCTTTATTATGTCAAATGCAGAAAAATCTACTCATTTATTAGTTTCCCTAAAAAACTTGTATTATGTGTACTCCTACCGTAGCATTCTTCAAAGCACTACTAAAATATTACTTACTCTGTGAGGCCAGCACTGACATTTCTTCCATTTCCCAGACAGAGCCAATCTCTCCCTCCATTTTTGCTGACACAGTACCTAGGAGTTAGGTGTATATAGCATTTATTATCAATAACCATAGTTTTTCGGGTTTCCCTCCTATTGGAACGGACCTTACAAAAGATCTGTTACTCATCTTTCAAACCCCACTCACAGTTAAGGAGTGTTTGTAGAGTGTTTCAGCTGATTGGTAGACTTCATAGGGTCTCATATATGGAGAAAGTCAATAGATCTTTTTTTTTTTAAAGATTTTATTTATTTATTTGAGACAGAGAGAATGAGAGAGAGAGAGCACATGAGAGGGGGGAGGGTCAGAGGGAGAAGCAGGCTCCCTGCTGAGCAGGGAGCCCGATGCGGGACTCGATCCAGGGATTCCAGGATCATGACCTGAGCCGAAAGCAGTCGCTTAACCAACTGAGCCACCCAGGCGCCCTCATATATGGAGTTTCTAAGGTAGAGTTGGATATAACAAAACTAAAGTATTTCTGTAGTTGTTCTGGGATATCTTCCTGTTCCTTTGATTGTAGAGCTACTATTTTAGGCTTCAGTATTATTTGGATGTGATAGTGCTTATAGGACCATGCTATGTAGGTCTGGATGGAGGACTGCGTAGCTCTGGATCTTCTTTGGTTTGGCCATTTTGCTCTCTTTTTCTCATGCGTATTCACTATCTCATTTTTTTTTTAACTATGTTTTTTTTTTTTTAAGATTTTATGTATTTATTTGAGAGGAAGAGTAAGAGAGAGAGAGAGGGAGAGAGTGAGCAGGGTGGGGAGGAGGAGCAGAGGGAGAGGCAGAAGCAGACTCCCTGCTGAGCAGGGAGCCCGACGTGGGGCTCCATCCCTGGACTCTGGGATCATGACCTGAGCCAAAAGCATACGCTCAACCAACTATATCTCATTGTTTTAATATAGATTTCTAGGCACCATTTTTATCAAGCTGGAGAAGAACTGGGAAATAGTACTGTATTGATTTGTTTTCCTGTTACTTGTTGGTTAGCTGGCGTTGCTTCATTACTATGTCCACAGCGCAGATGGGCGCTTGGTAGAGCTCATCTTGGACAGTCATATTCCATTCATATTTTTGTTTTCTTTGTTTCTGGGCGTCTTCAATTCAAGAGAATACTAAGATGCTTTTTTTGGAAATCTTTCCAGCTCCGTTTATTTTTTTTTTTAATTTAATTTTATTTTTTTTATTTATTTTTTTTATTCTTATGTTAATCCCCATACATTACATCATTAGTTTTAGATGAAGTGTTCCATGATTCATTGTTTGTGCATAACACCCAGTGCTCCATGCAGAATGTGCCCTCCTCAATACCCACCACCAGGCTAACCCATCCTCCCACCCCCCTCCCCTCTAGAACCCTGTTTGTTTTTCAGAGTCCATCGTCTCTCATGGTTCGTCTACCCCTCCGATTTCCCCCGCTTCATTCTTCCCCTCCCGCTACCTTCTTCTTCTTCTTTTTTTTTTTTTTTTCTTAACATATATTGCACCATTTGTTTCAGAGGTACAGATCTGAGATTCAACAGTCTTGCACAATTCACAGCGCTTACCAGAGCACACACCCTCCCCAGTGTCTATCACTCAGTCACCCCATCCCTCCCACCCCACCCCCCACTCCAACAACACTCAGTTTGTTTCCTGCGATTAAGAATTCCTCATATCAGTGAGATCATATGATATATGTCTTTCTCTGTTTGACTTATTTCACTCAACATAATACCCTCCAGTTCCATCCACGTCGTTGCAAATGGCAAGATCTCATTCCTTTTGATGGCTGCATAATATTCCATTGTATATATATACCACATCTTCTTTATCCAGTCATCTGTCGATGGACATCTTGGCTCTTTCCACAGTTTGGCTATTGTGGACATTGCTGCTATAAACATCGGGGTGCACGTACCCCTTCGGATCCCTACTTTTGTATCTTTGGGGTAAATACCCAGTCAGCTCGTTTATTTTATAATTACTTGATGTTGACAGGCTACAGTGCAGAGTGCATTCCCATGCTCCATCATATGTGCCGTCCACTGTATGGATTCATTTATTCACTTTGTTAATTAATTGATAGAATCAGGCATTCATTCAGTTAGTCATCTGACATTTTATTGAAGACCGGTCACAGGCTAGGAAGTATACCAGGCACTGGGGATAGAGAGGAAGAAGAGACAGTCTCTGCAGTCCATCAAGGGCTCAAGAAATGGAGGCAGACTGTAGGGCAGCCAGCAGTCTAAGTGCTGTGATGAAGGTACGCTCCTCTATGTCAGAGAAGATCCCAGCATGTTCTCAGGACTAACTCTTAATATATATGTGGAAAATTGTCAGCTCTTTCTTTGTCAGCCTAGAAAATCCCAGACTCCAACATATTTGGGGAAGACATCTTAATTCCTTATAAAACACAGCAAGATGTTAACTGGAACCACTTCTTGGTGGGTTTAGACAGGAACACTGTTTTATTATTTTCACTGAGAGTTTTTAAAAGTTCACTTAAGGGCGCCTGGGTGGCTCAGTTGGTTAAGCATCTGCCTTCAGCTCAGGTCATGATCCCAGGGTCCTGGGATCGAGTCCCACATCAGGCTCCCCGCTCTTGTGCTCTCTCTGCCACTCCCCCTGCTTGTGCTCTCTCTCTCTCTCTGCCAAATAAATAAAATCTTAAAAAAAAAAAGTTCACTTAAGGTGTTCCAGAGAGTTTAAAAATGTTCATTTAGGGTGTGTTAGCCAATCAGAAGTTCTATTACCATATATGTCTTATGGCAGAAGAAAAACAAATGATGTAACATTTCTTTGGAATTTTAATGTAGAAATTGGATGAGCAAAAGAAATGGTTAGATGAAGAAGTCGAGAAAGTCCTGAACCAACGCCAAGAATTGGAGGAGCTGGAAGAAGACTTAAAGAAGCGAGAGGCCATAGTTTGTAAGAAGGAGGCCCTGTTACAGGAGAAGAGCCACCTAGAAAATAAGAAGTTGAGATCAAGTCAGGTATTCTCTTTGTTATGCTCTTTGATTGTGGTTGTAAGCCAATGAATGAGGATTTTTTTCCCTAAGAAGTAAATCAGACCACTGTGAACTTCAAAACCCAAAGAAAAACTCTTCTGGTTTTCAGTGTATTTTGCATGTTAGTGCTTATTTAATGACCACCACTAAAATCTATCGCAATTTTGACATCAAATGTTCAATGTTCTGCCAAGTATGATTTATTATTAACTTTTTTTGGCATTTAAAAAATTATGGTAAAATATATGTAACATAAAACTTGCCATTTTGACCATTTTTAAGTGTATGATTCAGTGGCCTTAATCACATGCACAGTATTACACAACCATCATCCTATTTCCAAACCGTTTTATTTCCAGACAGAAAGTCTGTAACCATGAAGCCGTAACTCTTCATTTCCTCTGGCAACCTCTATTATAACATAGGTGGATATTTAAGAAATAAATTGTACTGTTTGATGCTGTATAGAGAACACTGGTAATTTGGAAAAATAGACTTAAAAATGATCTACTACTACCCAAAGTTAGGGGTTTGCAGGGTATCTTTAGAAGAAAGATTTTATGTAATGAAGATTTGTTCATTTTTCAAATTATAATGACATGGGGACCTTTACAAGAACTTTTGCTGGAGAACTCGTGTTTTGTGAGCCAAAAAAAAAGTGATTTTATGAAGGAGTTTGCCTTAATTTCAAGTTCTGAAAAAGGAATGATTGTGGTGGGAGTAGAAGAACCAGGAGATAGCTTTTTTGGATGTAGCTATAGATATTTTCAACAATAGCACCAACAGCATCTGAAAATGAAGCTGGCTTGCCCCACACTTGAAGAGGACTTTTTACCCAGCAAGCCAAGGACACACTGAGTAATGGAACAGAGAGGATCGGTGATCTGCCTCTTTATTAGACCTGCCTTTCAGCCAGTGTCTAGACCAGTAGGATCTGAGATGATGGTGGCATGTTCTTACCCTCTCCTCCTGAGTATAGCAGGTAGGCAAGCATGGAGACCTGTACTTACCTCTGCCCTGTCCTCCATTCCCCAGTCGTGTTGAATAGCTATTAGCACCAGGCTGTGGGACACAGGGATAGGTGCAGCCCCTCCAACCAGCCTAGTTGCTGGCTGTCAGGGTCAAGTTTTAAAAGCTATCCCTCAGAACACATCAATAACAGCAAAGGAGATGAACAAATTAAAATATCAAGTGAGTAAATAGAGGAAAATAAACTGGGACCTTTATTATATGTTGTGTATCACAAAAGAAAAAAAAAAAGTAAAAGGAATAAGGAGGAAAATCTGTTTCCTGAAATAAGTTTACTTCATGATCCAGGCAAAAAAAAAAGAAGGAAGTTTTCCACTTTCAACACAATGTAAAATTTAGGAGCAAGAACATACTGAGATAAGGAGAGAGTACAAATAAATAAAACCCCCAGTAGAGCAAAGCAAAATGGATTCTTTGAAGATCGTTTTAATGAAACAGAAGAGAAACTTGAGACTGTTACATTGCTGGGTTCTTTTCTGAACAAAGTATAAATAGATTACATCTTTTTTCAGTGTTTAAGAAATATACAAGGTTCGATCCTATGCATTTCGGACAAGGAACGTGATATTAAAAAAAACTATTTTCATACCATATACGATTTCAACTCAAAATAAGTCAAAGACCTAAATATAGAAATAAAACTATAGGGCGCCTGGGTGGCTCAGTTGGTTAAGCGACTGCCTTCGGCTCAGGTCGTGATCCTGGAGTCCCGGGATCGAGTCCCGCATCGGGCTCCCTGCTCGGCAGGGAGCCTGCTTCTCCCTCTGACCCTTCCCCCTGTCATGTGCTCTCTGTCTCTCTCATTCTCTCTGTCTCAAATAAATAAATAAAATCTTTAAAAAAAAAAAAAAAAGAAATAAAACTATAAAACTCTTAAAAGAAAACAAAGGTGTAAATCTTTGTGACCTTGGGTTAAGCAATGGTTTCTTTGATATTACACCTGAAGCACAAGCAACAAAAAAATATTAGATAAATTGGTCTTAATCATAATTAAAAACATTTGTTATGCAAAGGCCCATCAAAAAAGTGGGTGTTGAATCCACAGAATGGGGGAAAAATATTTGCAAATCATATACCTGAGAAAGGACTAGTATCTAGAATATATAAAGAAGTCTTAACTCAATAATAAAAAGACAACTCAATTAAAAAATAGACAAAGAATCTAACAGACATTTCTCAAAGAAGATATACAAATGGCCAATAAACATGAAATGATGCTCAACATCACTAGCCAGCAGGGAAATGCAAATCAAAACATAGATGAGCTCCTACTTTACACTTACTAAGATGGCTGTGGTCAGAAAAATAGGTAAGAAGTGTTGGTGATGATATGAAGGAATTGGAATTTTCATACACTACTTGTGGGATTGTAAAGTGGTGCAGTTGCCTTGGATAACTATCTTGCAGGTCCTCGAAAGGTTAAACAGAGTTACTGCATCACTCAGCAATGCCACTCGTAGGACACATCCAGGAGACTCAAATGTCCATCAGCTGATAAACGGATAAACAGAAAGTGGTATATCCATACTGTGGAATATTACTCAGCAATAGAAAGGAATGAAGTTCTGATCCATGCTACCACATGGATAAACCCCAAAACATTGTGTTAAGGGAAAGAAGCCAGCCACGAAAGAACATGTATTGTATGGCTCCATTTATATCAATGTGCAGATGAGGCAATTCCAGAGACAGAAAGTAGAATAGTGGTTACTTAAGGCTGGGTTGGGGATTGGGGAAGAAAGGAATGACTGTGAATGGGCATGGGGTTTCATTTTTGGGGGCGATGAAAATGTTCTAAAACTGATTGTGGTGATGGTTGCACAACTCTGTGACTGTACTAAAAACCATTGAATTATACACTTTAAATAGGTGACTTAGGGGCTCCTGGCTGGCTCCGTTGGTGGAGTATATGACTCTTGATCTTGGGGTTGTGAGCTTGAGCCCCACACGGGGTGTAGAGATTACTTAAAAAATAAAATCTTGATCAATCAATAAAATAAATAGGTGAACTGTATGGTATGTGAATTATCTCTCAATAAAGCTATTACTCAAAAAAAGCTATATATCCATAAAGGGAAAAAAAAAAAGATAAGACAACAGAAGACAAAAGATTACCAGGAAATGTAAAATGGAAAGCAATAGATAAGTAGTTACTCACGTAGCAGAAGAGGCTGAAATCCAAGCGCCTTGAGAAGGACATGAATGAGAGCCATGGCTGTAGTATTAGCCTTTTTTTTTTTTAATGTAATAACAGCTTTATGAGATAGAATTCACATAGATAAAATTAAAAAAGACTCAGAGAGGCACCTGGTGGCTCAGTTCATTAAGCGTTTGACTCTTGGTTTCTGCTCAGGTCATGATCTCAAAGTCGTGAGATCGAGCCCTATGTGGGGCCCCACGCTCAGCGTAGAGTCTGCCTAGGATTCTCTCTCCCTCTTCCTCTGCCCCTCCCCCTGCTCATGCATGCATTCTCTCTGTCTAAATAAATAAATAAGTAAAAATTTAAAAAAAAAGACTCAGAAATGAACAGACCAAGATTTTCAGAAAGCAGGAGTGAGACATAAGGATGAAAACAGGGAATTATCAGGAAACCATCCTTTTCCCACTCTGAGACTAGATAATTTATTTTCTGAAGGTTGAACCAGGTACAACAGAGGGTTGGGGTAAGTCAGAATACTCACAACAGGGAATGAATGAAAGTCCAGTCTACATACGAATCCCGAGATAGCCATTTCCTAACTCCTACTTGGATCCCAGAATGCTGGCAGCTAGATTTACACCTCCCAGCAGGACATTGGCAGATTTTCTGAAACAGTCCCTGAAAAAAGGTCTAAAAACATCCTTGGGCACCCCCAACTAAGTGGCCAGACCCCAGATATATTCTATGGTAACAAAGCATACTCACCACACAGCATATCAGCATTTTCATACCTGACTCTTACACGGGATGGCCATTTCAGGAATGCTACTAACATGAAAGAGACTGAGAAGAAAAGAAGCCCAGAGACATTAGAGATAGGGGAAGGAGCTGAAAAAACTTCCAACAAAACTTTAATATCCTCAAGGTGGTGAAAGATGATGCTCTATCCATAAAATGGGAACTGCTGGAAATTTTAAGGGTTGGAGGAGAACGTTAAGGAAATATCCCAGAAAGTAAATAAAAGGATAAATAGAAAATAGGAGAAAAAAATTTTAGTTGGCAGATTATAATCCAGGAAGTCCAACATCCAAGAAATAAGAATTTCAGAAAGAGAAAACGGGAGAGGGGATTATCGAAGACAATATACAAAATTTTCCCAGCACTGAGGACATGAGACTCTAGATTGAAATAAGTCATCAAGGGCCCAGCAAAATGAGTGCCAAAGGTTTATCATTGTGAAGTTTTGAGGACACTAAGGGGAAAGAAAGATCCCGAAAGCTACCAGACGGAAGAGATGAGTCGCTTGCAAATCTCAACAATCAGAATGACATTGGACTTCTCTACCTTCTTCAGTAGAAACTAAGAGACCTGCAGCAGTCTTCCAACTCAGAAGGAAAGTGATTTCCAATCAAGACTTCTCTTTTGATTTCCTTGTTGATCTTTTGCTTAGACGATCTGTCCATTTCAGTGATATGAGGAATTCTTAATTGCAGGAAACAAACTGAGGGTTGTTGGAGTGGGGGGTGGGGTGTGGGAGGGATGGGGTGACTGGGTGATAGACACTGGGGAGTGTATGTGCTCTGGTAAGCGCTGTGAATTGTGCAAGACTGTTGAATCTCAGATCTGTACCTCTGAAACAAATAATGCAATATATGTTAAGAAAAAA